TATTTCAGTAAAACTATTTCAGTAAAAATCACACCTGTAGTCCAAACAGTTAAACTAGTGCAATATTGGTATAGTTTACATCCAGTTTCCCAATTTCAGGCTTCTGTATCTTTTAACACCTCTTTTGTTAAGTCTCCTCTCACCATGGAGTTTTTCCAGGTAAAAGAAAGCCGGAACTTAAACTTAGGAAAACCAAATGGTTAAGAAGGAGCAAGGGGCAGCTGTTTTAATCTACTGACTTTTTACTTATATATTCTATAACTGTTAAAGCTATTTTTAAAGGTAAGCAGCTCAAGCTGCATTTTTATTTCCTTTCTGGATGAACACAGACTGCTTTAAATAATTAGAAACACAGTCGATGTGACTCATTAGAATGTCTGCCAAACTCACTGTCATTCTTCAAAACCAGAATCACCAATGTCCTATATTGGCAGAAGAGACAATGACCCTGGAAAAGACAAGAATTTGTGGTTGGAGACTTGACTCTTCAGCTTTTAGCCACACAAACATTTTATGATTTATCTTAGTTTCTGTACTGGCAGAACACCAACCTTTCCAATATAGCGATCACAAAGTTTCCCCTGAGTGAGCAGGTTTTGCTAAAAGTTTTTTTAAACTCTTCAGGAGTAAATTTTACATTATTTTCTTAATACAAATTCAAGAGGAAGGAATTTTTGTAAATGCAACTTTTAAGGAAAAAAAATCCTAGACAGTTGTAACGCAAGGGCAATGAAACATCTACTGTGAATACAAAAATAAAACTCTTTTATTTTCTTCTTTACAAGTCACTCTGGAAAGCTCATACCCTCCCAGAGACTTGGGACTCCATCCTTAGAAGTAATGGAAAGGCTCCCACTAAATTAAATACACTTTTTATTCATATAAACAGCATCAAAACTTCTGAAAGACTGCCTGCCTACATGCAAATACATATCATTCCTGATTTGAGGGCAAAGAGCTAGGATTTAGAATCCAGTGCACATCAAGTCATGTGCAGGTGCCCTGCAGGATGAGGGACATCTTCCCTTCCACAGCCACAGGGTCAGGAGCACCCTGGGAGCAGATTCCCTGCAGTACAGGAATTTATGCTGAATGCAGGACTACAACTACTTTCTTCTCCTCTGACCCTGTTCTTAGGCTCCAGACTATGCACTGACCCAACTTCAACAGCAGTAAACATATTCCACATATCATGGCAAAAATGGCACTAGGACACTAGCCTGAAGTACAGGTATGTTTAAAGCCAGAAGTCCTTAGGTTTGCTACTTTTGGGGTGAATTCCAGTGCTTTCTGATGCTGGAAATGCCACTGATATGAGTATCCCTGAACAGCATAAACCTTCTTTCAGGAGAGCAGTGTTGGAAGGATATCAGCTCAGTTCCCAGAAGAAACACTTCTCATTTGTGCATTTGTGATTAAACGTAATGGGAATCTGAATCAGTTACACAATATTTTGTAGTTTTAGTAGTACAAAAATTAAGCAAAACTGAAGGGTAAGTAGACTAGCTCACTGCTTAGAGATTCTAGCATTCTACAGGTGCAATGGGTCCCACCTAATATACTTATCAGCATGTGAGTAACACACCTCTATGGTATCAACACACAAGAAATAAGTAGAGGTAGTCAGAAAATAATTCCACTCAAGGTAATTTATTAGATTTCAAAATGTGCCCTTGTTCTATGCTGGAATAAAAAGCACCATGTTTCTAATGTCTTTATGAAAATGTACGTTGTAAAAATGTTCAAGTTCTGCTTGACAGCTTCAGGTTTTCCTTTCTTATACCGTCTTTCTTGCTCCCTGTAAACCAAGCCTACAGTGTCATGATCACAGCCAGGGTCGGAGAAACCTCTCAGGTAAATCCCCTATGAAAATTAGAAAATGCTGCAACATTTCAGCTCTGGTGAAACTGTGCTTCTGTGGAAACATATTTGCTAAAGACTCATAACGAGGTGCTGCAGTTTTCTTCGGGATCCTTCAAACACTGAGAGAGCTGCTATTTCAAGTGACCCTATCTTCTTAGCTCCTCACAGCTGAAAAGACCTGAGAGCTCTGTTCATAAAGGTTTGCTACTCGGCAGTGCCAAGCATAAGCATTCAGTGCCTAGCCCCAGAAAGGAATTTGCGATGCCAGATTAAGCACCAAGGTTTCCTGGGCAGTGCGGGAGTCTCGAGGTGGATTTCATGCTGCCTGGCATGACAGAGGCAAGATGCCTGTGCTGTTCAGCAGGAAATTATGGGGAGAGGAATGCACCAGAGAGCCTCCTCTCTCACAGGGCTACAGGCAGTGAGACAAGGTGGAGAACCCCTCTCCATCCCTTTGAATCAAGACACAAGGCCCAATTCTAGTAACCGAGTAGAATGGCAGAGCAACATTTCTGTGTCTTAGTGGTTCAAGAACTGCTCATCTGCTCTACCTTCAACAGAGGAGAAGGCACCAGTCAGTGAAAATTTGATGTGGACTGTGACTTAGGAGCGATGGGAGCCTGACCTGGGAAGGTTTACCTGATGCACTCACTGGATAAGGAAGCACAGACAAAGCTCCAGGAGCAAGAACTGGATGTTCCTAATTCCAGTCCCAGAGTCAGGGCGCCTGCAGATAGGTGTGGCAAAGCTGAGCACTGCCACACCTAGGGCCACTCCTGGATCTGGCCCTCATTGCTCTGCGCACGCACACTGACAACAGCATGCCCTAGATTAGCCACGCTTGCTTTCGTTTGGTGTTAACTGAAGGGATTTAAAAATTATATGCATTTTTCTTCACCTCTGCTGTTTACTTGCTTATTTACTGCAATCAGACTGGAAAATTAAAGTAGTCAGGCAAATTTTATTTTTTTTTTACTTTTTAGATGCCTATGCACCAGCAAAATATCATGATAGTCAAAATGTACTACAGACTATTATTCTGTCTCTGTATTGTGTTTACGTTTCACATGTAATCCTTTACAAAACAGAAACTTTTTCACTAGTTTTAGCTTATTCAAGAGTTCTTGCTGTATCTAAACTCAGAAGTCATAGCAACTTTACAGTACTCAACTGGCTGAGATAGTTTTTAACCAAACTCCCTATTCTCTGGTTATTACAGTTCATCATACACTTGAGTGGATCATATTTGAACTCTGTCCTGATTCTGCAGTCACCTAAAAGCATACTCAAGACTAAGCATGCATCTTTAATGCATTAAGATACATGCATCAGAATACATGCATGCTTAATTGATGCAACACACCGTATTTCTGAGGAAGTAACGATACCATAGCAAGTTGCTTGAGGAGAGGCTCAGGCCCCCAACTACAATGCTAGCTGTGTCAGGGGGTGAGTACCAATTTTTGGTTTTGCAGAATCCTAATTAGCTGATTATTAACCAGAATTGGACACAGTCTTCTTAAATGTCACAAGCAGAAGTTAAAAGTTTTAACTTTGATAAAGGGGTTTAACAGAATCAGCATGATCATAGTTTCTTATGGAAATCTCTGCTGCAAAATCAGAGTTCTGAATCAAACAACTGTAGGGTGGGTAAACTTATTTATTTTGTTCCCACACCTTTACTTCTTACATTATTTTCTAGGTAAGAAGATACAAAGTTCATAATTTGTAGAGACTTACTGGACCTTCAATAGCTGTCTAGCACACCATTATCTGACATTCCTTAGATTAATATGCTGTACTCATTACTCTGTTTGGGACATAGAAAGCTAATTAAAAACACGATATATAAGCTGCATAAAACTCAGTGAAACTATGCAATACAAATGTTTTCCACAGGAGGGAAGAGGCGGCCTTTCTTACTCGTACAGTGCCGTCTTTCTTGTCTTTCTCAGGACATAAATGAACGGTGGGAAAGAAGAGTAAGGAGGAGGCTTACTCTCCCCTCATTAATATTTGCTTTTCATCGATCCGTTGTTCTGTTCTGAGACTGTCATTACACCCTGCGTTATTTTAAGAAAAAGCAGACCGTGCTCAAATGACAGCAGGGAGATCAAGGAAAAGTCAGTCACGCACCGGGTGAACTCCGGGTTTTACGGTCCTCATAGCCCGAGTTTCACCCGGCGCTGCAGAGGGCCGGAGGTAATCTCTTCTCCTCTGCACCTTTCCTAACCGAGAGAACCCCGACTTCAGCCAGCCAAATCCCGTCCGGGAATCCCGCTCCGCGGAGGAGCATCAGTGTCCCTCTGGCCGCCCCCCGAGCCCGGCGCCCTCCCGCCGCCGGCACGGACCGTCACACAGCCCCGCTCCCGTCGCGGCGGCCCCGGGGGCGGGCGGCCCGGGCGGCTACGTGCAGGGATGAGGGGGGGGTTCGCCCCCACGACGCCCGCTCACCGATCTTGGCGATGGGAGGCCAGCAGGATCCAGAGGGTGATCTCGAAGGGGGATTTGCACGTGGGGTAGTCCAAGGGTGAAGATCGTGGACCGCCGTCCTCCTCGAAAGCGGTGCCGCTGGCTCGGAGGGGTGCCGGGCCCATCGCCGCGGCGCCAGGCAAGCTCCCTTCCGAGGTGGCCCGCGCCTCCCGCCGCCCCGGCCGCCAGCGCCGCCAAGCACCGGGCACCAGCACCGGCACAAGGCAAAAACCGGCCGCAGGGCGGCGGCAGGTGCGCGGGGGGGCAGCGGCTGCCCATGGCGTCCCCAGCTCCCGCTGCCCTAGCAGCCCCGCGCTGGCCGCCTGCCACCAATCCCCGCCGCCGCGGGCCAACCTTGCGCTGCTGCCTGGCCGCGGCCCCCGCCGGCCCGCTCCTCCCCGGTGACTGGGCGAGTCCCGGCCCGGCGCCGCCGGCGCCCGCGATCGACCCGCTCCCCCGGCCGCCCCGGGCCGGCCCCCGCGGGGCAAGCCCGTCGGGCTGGCCCCGCCGGAGCCGCCCGGTCCGCCGCCCCCCGCGCCCCCGGGGCCGGCCGGCCGCTGTCAGCCGCGGGGAGCGCCCGGGCGGGGGCCGCTCCCGGGTTCCGGGTCCCAGGTTCCAGCCGCCGCCAGGTGCTGCGGCGTGAGCGGGGCTCAGGCACCCGGGTACCAGCTCCTGCCCCCCAGTACCCGCTGGGATGAACGGGGGTGCGCAGGTGTAGGCAGAGCTGGAAGGTCTTCCTTTAACTGTAGATTACTCTAAGAGAGATGTGTATGCAGTCATATAAATACAAGTACGTATATGTATATATATTTGTATATAAACTAAAGTGTTAACACACTCTATAGGTATATACACGCCTATAAATAAATATAGTCTCATAGATACATACATGTATCTAAAAGCAATTTAGATTAGAGACTTTATATGTATGCATGTACATCTATTTGCATACGTGTAAATGTGTGTGTGTATGTATACATATGAATGTTTATATGTATATATATTTAAGAAAGTAATTTTTACATATGTATATGTGTATGTATGTATATATCTATGTCGCCATTACCAAATACAGAATAGGTGCTTCTACCAAATATGTTATAGACACCATTCTGTTCCCACTAATAAGGAGCAAAATTCTGTTAATGTGGGGAGTTAAAAGAACACACTCTGTATACATATATATATGTAGGTTCATGTATATGTATATGCATGTTGTAGAACACCTATTTATTTTATGATCTATAATTATATAGTATATTATATATTCAATATATACAATTATATAGATAGGAGTTTTTCTGCTGTGCCTTTTGGAACTGGACATGTCTATCTCATGTTGGTCTTTTTAGCCACCAGCGTGCTTGTAACAAACGTGGGTAGAGCCCTCCCCAAATCTTCGTTCTCAAAGCCTAGCCATGATTAAATATTTATTTCCACCTATCGAGCATGTGATAGGTACAATCCTGTTACTGTTAATTAATAGATTTTCATTCTGTTAATTCAGAGAGTTAAAATTGCGCACTGTATAAACATATGTGATTGCTCATACATATATTCTCATGTATGTATATATAAATATATGACTGATCAAATAGTTTTGTGTGTGTGTGTGTTGCAAATATTGAACATATGATTGGCAAAATCCTGTTCCTAAAGGCATTGGAAGGTGATTCCATTAGATACTGCTGAGGACAAGCTTTCTGTATTTCCTGAAAGAGTGGAATCTCACCCATGATTTACTCATGACTTCATCACTTATGAGTAAGACAGTATTCCAAAGCTCAAACTCATAAAATCTTTAGAGCACACGGTTCTGCATGCCTCTATAGCAAAACATGTCTTTCATGAATTCCAATAAAACTAAAGCAGGAAGTAAGGGTTCTCCTTTTTTCCCCTGATTTATCAGTGGCTACTGTTTCTGTAAGGTGTAAAGCTCAGAATCAATTAGCTGAATACCTGTAGTTGTTACTTAACCCCTAGAACCTGAAAAGAGGGCACTAAGCCTATTGCTTTTAATGACATAACATTAATAACAGTTGTTCTTTATTTTATCTACAATTCAGCAAAGAAAACATGTTCTAGTATCAAACCAGTGTATACACCATCTAACCCTCTAGCTGCATGTAATATCTTCATATCTTCTTTTATTTGTTATATTAGATTCTCTGAAATAAGAGGATCAGATAAATATTGCCAATTCTGAGGACATTTCATTTATATGGAAAAGGAATACAAAAAGAAAATGCTCTTTCTTTTCTGGATCTCCTAGTTCCTGTCAGACCATCCGTAAGAAGAGAAGTCTAACCCTCAGGTGAGAGAGATAGCATTAAATTCCATATGCAAATCAGATTAAAAATCATAAATTTAATTGTCTGAAATCATAAGATCTGTAATTGTACATGTATGTCACATTTTATGACCTTTCCTGCAGATGAAGAAAAATACGGTTATGAAAGTGCCAATACACTTTCTCCTAGGAACAGTGTTACAGATCCCTTCTAGTTATCTACATTATCTCACTGGACTGAGAATAATCTTCAATAATGTCAATGCAAAAGCATTGGCAAGAGCAAGCTGGCCAAAGCTGTTAGAAGTATTGTTATTTATATACTGTCCCATTGATCCTTTAATATCGCTTCACAATCCAGTGGTGGATTCACCGTCCCTGGAGGTTTTTAAGATGAGACTGGATGTGGCACTTGGTGCCATGGTCTAGTAACCACAGCAGTGTTGGATGAAGGGTTGGACTTGATGATCTCAGAGGTCTTTTCCAACCTGGTTGATTCTATGATTCTATGATCTATGCTGGAATTCTTACGCCCATTCAACAGTCACAGCCAAAATACACTGTAGGGCATTTTGGACCATTGTCCAACAGCTCTGGCAGGTGCAGCAGCCACCAGATCAGTGTTTGGAAATTGTGAAAAATTGGCTGAGGGTTTCCCTTTGCCAGAAGAGGGGAATGAAGACTTTAGGTGGAGAAAAGATTAGGCATACAAAAGTGGAGGAAGGTTCCTTCTCACAGAAAATGTTCTTCATTACTGCCCTTTTCATTACAGGCAGTGAGGGATGACAGAGCATGGCTGCTGCATACTGGCAGAGACAGAGAGTTGCTTCAGCACCCAGGTAATGCCCTTACAGTCACAAGGTTTCTCCCAGGCATGGGAAAATGGACCCTTCCTCAGGGCACCATCCACACATTTGCCATTATTTGTCCTCTGACTCATCTCCTCTCCAAAAATAAACGGCCACACGCAACAGAAATCCTTCTTGCTCTGACACTACTGTGGGTCTTGGTACTAGGCTAACTCTCTTTATATATTATAAAAATGAGAAGTTGGCAAATGGAAAGAAAAATAAAATGATGGAAAGATGTCACTAATCCTGAGGCTGGTGACTTACATGCCAGTAATAAAAAGGGAAATAATATATTGACACAGACCCCAAAACACTGGGAGAGTGAAGAAAATGAGAGTTGAGATTAATTATAAGAGTTGATGCTGTCTATTGTTACATCAAAATAACATATTTTATGGATGGATTGTATAGATGAGAATACCCACTATTTGAGTAGGAATTGCCTTTACAGGATAGCACGATACAGCAGGGAAGCAAACCCTATTTGACTTCAGAGCTAGTTGAAATAGATGCAGTGAAGCTGAGCACAGTATAAGGTGCTGAAGGTCTTAAAAGGATTCTCTCAGTGTTTGCAGCACATGCTGCTTTTCACTTCCACCAGACCTGTGCAGCTGGTCCCACAGATGCTGAGGGGTTTCGTCACCAGTGAAAGGTCTTTAAATCTCAGAGATTTGCCTAAGACAGGAGAATGGGGTACAATATTCCCATTATCACTGCTTCACCCAGGCCATATGAGACAGCAGCAGCAGCTTCACTCCCCTCCACTGCCCTCCACTGCCCCTCAAACTCTGCCCAACCCTGCAAGTATCTGCACAAAAAGTAGTTCCACCTGAAGCCATGACCAGGGACATCACCATATGGAGAAAAATATTCCTGAACTTTATTGCTGCCCGAGGAGGGGAGGGAGGGGGTCCCCTCAGCCAGGGAGAGCTATAGAGGAGACGTGAAGGTGTGTTCCTGGCGCCACAGTGTCTCGTCATGGCTCTGCCCCTGACAATTCAATGCATCTGCTCCCACTTCAGAACAATTTTCTGTCGGGTCGCTCCGCACCATTTCAATGACAGCACAAACAGAAAGCACGTACACCAAACTTGCCTGATGGCAACTGATCCATAGAGGACCTTCCCGCAATGCCCCCACCGCTGCCTCCCTGCCCGCACTGTGCCGTGCCATCTGCTGCTGCAGTACTTTCATCTCCTTAATTCTGCTCGCAGGCATTGTCTGTTTTACCAGACACAGTGCTAACAGCATTTCACGTGACAAAGTGCGTGCTATTTTATACATCAAGATGCTAATTCACATGATTCAGTTTGTTTACCTTTTAATCCATTTATTGATTACTACTGGAAATTGCTGCCAGAGCAAGGGACTGCTCAGGGTACCCACAGTGTACTGGTTGCAAAGGAGAGGCATTGACAGTCAGACCACACAGGTTTGCAATAGCTCGGGTGGTTCATACAGGTGTTATGACAGTTTAGTTTTACTTTTGCTGTAGCAGGCAGTGGGACTTTCTCATTGTAGGCATGACGCTGAGTTACAGGGTTGTATGTTGTCTGTGATTATTAATCCAGCTTTATCTTTACAGTAGGAAAGATCTATATTGCTATTATAAAAATCTGTTTCTACGATGAAATGAAAAAAGCAATTTGAACAAATGAGAATTATCACTTTATCATAAATTTAGCTCCATTTTTTAGGGATTCCCTAAAAATAATGACATAATATTTTCGAACTTGATTTTCTGACCTGTCTTTGATATCAAGGAAGAATTTCTGGAAAATGTTACTGTGACTATTTCAATAAATAGATCTCCTGTGAGCAATATAGTAGGTGTTCTCTAGTAAATATGATCAAAAACATGAAAAGGGTTAGGGGAAATTTGTAAATATATGATTAAGTATTTGTCCATCATTTTCATTGCTATTCTAGTTTGGCAGATATTTTCAACAGATTAAAAAAAAAAGTTATATTTTATTCCTGATATTTTATTTTTATGCAAATTAACACTGTGCAGAGAAGCTTACTCTTGAATACTTCTTATTTTCCCTGACACAGTTCATACAGCAGTATTGTAAAATCTGTGTTCCTTGTTCAGAAGTATAAATTTCACCATTCTTCCTAGTCACTTAACTAAAACAGCCAAAGGCTTTCTCCAGTTTTCCCAAAAAATATAGCACAGGAGATTTAAACACAGACCACCTTGCTGAAATATATTAGGATGTTACTAAAATAAATTTGCTAAAAATTCTAGTATTTTCATTAGAACAAGGGAAGAAGTTTTCAGGCTACATCAGGTAAAGAGGTGATTTGTCTTAAATCTGTAGCTGTATGGGAATCAAAGTACCACAAGGAAAACCTCTGCCTGTTGTACATGCAACTAGGATGTTCAAAGAGTTAAGTGAAAACAGACACCTAAGAGGTGACACAGGGTTTTTTTTACTTATTTAGAAGTAGTCTCATTGGAGATTTAAGGACTATAAAATACAAATATGCTTGACTGAGAGTTTTTGATTTGATAGGGGAGCTGGTCACTCACCTGCATTTATTATGTTAATAAACATTTCTCAAAATTCTCTTCCATTTATGAGGGCTGTGTCACTGGGCCTTGACTGTATAACTCTGTCTCTAAATCCATTAATTAGTGAATGAATATCTCAGCTATAGAGTGATTTATTTTCTGGAATCAATAGCCCATTGAGGATGTGTTTTTCCACAGCCTTTTCCAGGACTGCTTAGCAACTGTCCCCATAAACCACATCCACCAGAGGCATTTTACCTTCCTCATATGGGCACTTTAATGGCAGCAATTTAGCCGTTTTAAGGCCCTTGCAATGTTAACTGTTTTGTCTGCACAAACTGGTTTTTTTAGCTGGAAAGAGTTGAGAAAGGGCACAGGTACTGGCAACTAGCTGCCTAATATTCCAGGATTCAAGGAGTGACAGATGCAGCAGTTGCCTGGCTATAGATGTGGAACATGAGGGAAGGAGCATAGCTACTTCTTTAATCTTCAAAAGCAGCCCAATGAATGAAGTACTGAATTCAGAGTGCTGAACTCTGCTTTTCTGGTTTTCTCTTAGGCCTCACTCAGCAGCTGCTGCCACACAGCACCAGTCAAAGTTATTCCAGTATGAAGCCCTGAGGGAGAAATGTATTGCTGCTTCTGTGGATTATAGGCAACCACTTCCCCAAAGCCAGAGCTAATCTGTGTATTAGAGTAATTGCACCCATGTGAACACTCTCCCAAAGACTTCTCCTAAGGCCGTCCCCAGCCAGCAGGTGTGTACACAGGCACTTTGCTCACCATGAGTAAGCATCTCTAGCGGGTTCAGCCAGGAAAGCCTTTTGTGCCTCCTATCAAATAGCAGAGAGGTTTTAGCAGCGTTACGGAGCATCAGAATTAAACATCATCCCCAAGAACAAAAAAGCTGATGGTCCTACCATCAGCTGCTGCAGGAGGACTAAGTGATGTGTCTAACTCCAAAAGGATACTTATAAGCCAGGAAGACTAATAATCCACGAAGTTAATTTTTGCAATTACTTGAAAGTAAAGTGCCCTTCTTCTGTTCATAAGACAGACAAAATTGAGAAGAAATGCCCAGAGTGGTTTGTGCTGTTTTTCCTTTCATTAGTTGTGTTTCAGATGATCTGGGAAATTACATTGTTGGGCACATTTGCTGGAAATCTAGAATTGGAGATGACAGACTCATCTCCCTCTCTAAAGGATTAGAACAATCTAATTGTTTAATAGGTAAGCAACATGTTTAATGTTTAAACTGTAAATCCCTTCTTTAGCTCACTCTGCACCAGGACACTTAGTCATTGAATGATTTCTGAGACTGTGTCCCCATGCTGGCTGTCAAAAGTAGCCACTGTTCTCAAGCTTAGCACCTGTCACTGCCATGAATACAGAAATACTAATTTAAATGTTTAACTTCGGGGGCAAAAAAAGTTAATGACTAAAAGAATGCCTCCAGTTTCAGCCTTCCAATGGCATCAACAATGATGAGAATTTTCCTTTGAAAACAGAGCCTGATAGGGTATGGTAGATATGATAAGCATGTTTTTTAATGCTTTCCCTTGAGTTCAGCTGTTGGAGTTGGTGACTGAAGTGATTCCTTTAGCGCTGTAGCCCATATTTACAACAGTAGTAACCTTTGAAGCATAGAGGTTCAGCCTCTGTTTGCAAAGGGCAAGGTGAAGACTGACCCAATCCTGCTAAGCTACACTTTCTACTTGCTCTTTGCTAGTAGATTAATAGCAAAAGCATGTTTAACAAGTGTTGTTTTCAAAATGCTGAGGGGTTGTCAATTTTTTTCCCTGAAGAAAATTTCATTTAAAAATAAATGTTATAATGTTTCTCAAGTAGTTCTGAAGCAAGTAAAAATGTGTCCAAGCCATGCTCTCTATCACCTTATTCTCTGTTAAGCACAACCTAAAGTCTGTTTTCCCTCTCACCAACTTAAGCTGGGGGCTTTTCTTAGAGGACTAAGATCTTCAGCAGGAGTCTAGAAATGTCTACCTTACAGAATGTCATCCTGTAGCAGGGATGCTGGTCAGTTTATAACAGTAGCTGGAACTGCTGTACATATGTGGGGTGAACAGGGAGCTGTTCACTCCACAGCCCCTTTCTCATCTGCCCCTTGTTTCTGACGCACTCTTGTCTCTCCTCTTTATCCCAAGAACCTACCTACAAAATACAAATAAATGCACCCTGTTCTTGCTCAGTCAGAGCTGAGCAACGCTGGTCTTCATTGAGCTATAGGGAACTATCCTTTAGCAATGGTGAAAAAATCCACCTCAGATTCTCTACAACCCCCAAGGCTGACTCTGTCTAGAGTGATGCTATACATATTCCACTGAAGCCAGGAAAGTGTTCCTGACAGCTGAAAGAGAAGCAGTCCCAATACAAAGAAGATATTTTGTAATTTGCGTTGCCCTGAAAGGTAGTTTGTGAATTGCTACAGTGATCAGCCAAAGAATTAACTGTC